TGCACCAATCCATAAGAAATTAAATTTGAAGAAAATCTTTTTCTTTTCGTGTACAAATACAAAAGCCATTAAATTTTGGTTTTGTGTTCAAATACATAAAAAATTAAATTTGAAAACAAGTGGGAAATTGCTTTTGTATTGCATTTGGTATAGTTATTTTTGCTAATAAATTAGCAATATGCTTCCAAATGGTTATTTTGTACATTCTTTTTTTTTATCTTAGACAATTCATGGTTTATTTTATTTTCTCAAATTGAATAATTTTTAAAATTTGATCATTAATGGAATGAAAAAATGATGCAATCTATATTATCTTTAAATTTCGATGAAATGTTATCAGAACAATTTCATTGGTACATAACTTAATGAATTTTAAGCATCACTTGTGAGAAAACCCATCAGAAAGCTCACTTTCAGGAAAAAACATGAAAAATTCGAAATTTTCAAAAATCGTCATAAAAATCAGATGAACTGAGATAGCTATTGTCATCATCTTTTAACTACGACATAATGGGGTTGGAACAAACATTTCAAACTATGATTGAATCCATTTGGAGCATAATATTCAAAGATATCTCCGGAATTCCGATTTTCAAAGAGTACATTTTTTCAAACTTTTAGACAAATCAAGAGAACGATTATATCACCTTCATCTTCAAACTCGGTCAAAAGGACACACACAATTTTTTTGAGCCATCATTCAATGAATTCAGAACATTTTTTTTAGTTATCGTGTTACAACCAATTTTTGAAAAACTTAAAAAAATGAATGAATGAATTTAATTTTGATTAACGACAATGGATAGAGCTCAACAATATCTGCATAAAAATAGAAGATTCAATTTCATCGATTCATTAGTGAGAAATTAAAGGAAAAGTTTGAAAAAATTTATTACATACACACATACGTACGGACGTCGTATAAAAATTGCATTTTCGTGAGAAGGCCCGGTAAACCACGATTGTAATCTCGCTTCGCTCGGTTAGATCGCGGTTTACGGGCCTTCTAATGAAAAATTGCATTCATCACACGGTCTAAAAGTATTTTCTGACGAATGTGATTATAGTCCTCGCCTTCGGTTCGGCCTACAAAGCCGCATTCGTCAGGAAATACTTTGTGGACCTTGTGATGAAAATAACTATTTTCGGACTTTTTGGATCATAATAAGTCGATATAACACAAACAATCGAAAACTTAAATTTAAACGATTACAATGCTTCCATTCGGAATAAAAAAAATACTTTTTTTGTGTACAAATACAGGAGCTATTTAATTTTTTTTTTCGTGTAAAAAATTATAATGAATTGAATTTGAAAAAAATCTTTTTTTCATCACGCTGTATTTAAAGGAACGTTTCAGGCAGGTTCCGCGTGCGCAAAACCCCACTTCCCACACCTTGTGATGAAAAATAGCGTTTGACACTCGTGGGAATTGAATTTTTTTTTGTGCACAAATTCATACGAAATCGAATGTAAAAAAAACATATTTATCGTGTACAAATACAGACGCAATTGAATTCATTTTGTGGACAAATCCATAAGAAATTAGATTTGAAAAAAAAAACTTTCTTCTGTGTACAAATACAGAACAAATCGAACAAAAACTATTCATTTTTATGCACAAACACAGAAAAAACTCAATGCGTTGCGGCTAGCGGGGGTCCAGGGGCAGAGCCCCGGTGGGGTTCAGGGGCGGAGCCCGGTGGGGTCCAGGCGTGAAACCCCTGGTGGGGTCCAGGGGC